TTGACTTGCATAAACAGTTACATTTCTGAAAGAAATATGGAATCCCATGAATAAAAAAGGAGCAGCTATTGACAGACACAGGCTTCAAGCAAAAATCAGAAGTTACAATTTAATCACATTAAAAATATACCGTCTCTTTTCCAGCATCTTCCCCTAGGGCACTGACAGTTTACAGCTAATAGCTAAAGAAGCTGAGCTATCCGATGAAGCATTTAAGTGGCAAAAACACAACTATGCATTGTGTTTTGAGAAAGGTCCTAATTCTGTTAAAGCAACATACTGCTGGAGGCTCTCATGAGTCAGAGACAGGTCACCTTGCTGGCACCAAGACAAAAGTGTTGAGATTACACACCCTGACACGCCTCCTTTCTTTCAGGCACATCCCCTCCATTTCTTACAGGGACATCAAGGATTCTTTTTATAATGAGAAGCCCAATACATCAGCCTTTGATCACCCGCCTCGCTTATGAGACAGGACAGTTTCCCAACCTCGGAAACACCTCAGATGAAAAAAGCTGAGACCAAAAACTGTACTGACAGTACCTTCTAGAGTCTACCTGCTCACCCGTAAAATAAACAAGGTAAAGTTTAAAACATGAAACGACAATAAAACACCCCCCAAACCAACAGTGATGTACGAAATGGGAACCTCCTCCCTCCAAATGGTCCGATAACACCTAAGCAGATTTTAACCCTTTTCAGAATGGCAGTCAGACAGATTCCATGGTCATTAACATTTTAGTTACAAAATGGAATGAAAAGGAACTTAGCTGTAGTATCATTAAGTGTTCTTACCACTGCTAGGACAAGTGGCTTCACAGTAGCAGGATATTCTGAAAGCCTCCTGTGTGTACAGTGATGCTGGTTTTCAGAAGACACTCACTTTACTACAGCCAACAGCCACATCATTGAAGGTAATGAAGCATAAAGGAAGATTAATGAAATTCATCATACACATAGGCATTCACATTTTATATATATTTATATGGATCACTTCCCTCCTCCCACAAACGAGAAATAATTTTCTGTACCTTGAACAAACCACTCCCTTAGCAAAGACTGAGCTTGACAGAAGCTGTGTCCACGTATCTTGTACAATTGCACTGGCCACCAGTGGTTCAGTGGCAGGGGCTGCAGGGGTGGCAGGTGGCCAGAGGTTGCAAGCTGCCCTGTGCTAGCCACAGGAGGTTCAGCCTGTACCAAAACAGACTTGAACAATCCACTGCATGCCAAAGTCAACCAGAGGCATGCACAGTGCCTCTGCTTAAACGTATTTAAGGAAGGGTGGCAGCTGCTAGAAAGAGGTGCAGGGAGACACATATGGAGAAGATATTCCTGGGGAAACACGTTTGCAAGCACCTGGAGAAGTCACAGAGGACATGTGTAGAGGTACACCTCTGAAGTAACTGAGGCCCACAGGAGACACAAGCTGGAACAGACACCCCTAAGGGACTGTGGCCCAATGTCACCACAAATAGTGACACTGACCAGCCCAGAGCACTAGAGGACACCCACTAAGAAATGAAGATCATCAGACAAGCCAGTGTGCATGCGATCCCCATCTCCTGTGTGATCTGTCACCCCACTAAAGGAAATGGCACAGGCTGAACGAAACTCTTTGTGAAAACAAGGGAAACTGAGACTACAAAGGCAGGGAGGAGCGGTGTTAGACTCGAGCTGAGCCTGAGGAAGGGGGAGGAAAGATGTTTCCTTAAGTGGTTGGAAAACTTTATCTTTTCCCCCCAATACCTGAAATGGTGATTAGAAGTTTGCCAAGGAGCAATAAATTGAATTCAGGAGAAACATCACAACTGTTTCGCCTGCAACATGCAAAAGTAAGGATTTTAGACATGTATCTCTTATACAAGCTGCCCTTAAATCATCAATCCTCTCAACTTGATCTCATGACAATCAGATCAGCATTTTCCTGTAATCAGTTGGTTTCATGTAAAATAACATCAGAAAGCCAAGTGCTACAAAATCAGTGGAGCAACATTTGTTGGGACTTTCAAGACAATGCCAAAAGATGGGGTAAAACAGCAATAGGCAAATACTAAAAAGTTACTATTCATGCTAAGTCATTAAAAAAGGACCTGGTTCTATAATATGATCTACTGGACCTGTTATAAAACCTTTAAAGTGTCTCTTGCAGTACATTTTATTTTAAAGCTTTATTTCAAAGTAATCTAACTGCAAATAGAAGTAATGTTTAACCTCAAAACATCCTATATAAAAGTCATTCCAAGCTGGTAAAAGAAGCAGTTTTGCTGGCAGCTCTGTAGGATGGTCTGGGTTTGACTTTTTTTTTTTGCTTGACCATGGTTTTCAGACTGGTGTTTCTGTCCAGTCTTTTTTATGGTTAAATGGGAAGAGGCACCCTTAACCTTTTTATTCAAAACTAAGGGGACAATTTGAAAGGGGCTGAGGACTAATGTAATACACAAGATCGTTCTTGAAATGAGTATGAGAATGCCTTCCCTCAAGTGTGATGATGGTACTTGCAGAAATGACACCCTGTATGTGGTAAGGCCTTGGAGAATGGAAAAATGGGGCCAGAGTGCGAGAAGCCATTCCTCCACACTCATGTAAACAGGCAAGCATGATAATATTCCTTTTTCACTATTAAAAAAGACAGTGTTAGTAGTGTGGAAACAAACCATAAAGGGAATATAATTTCTAAGTTTAAAAAACATACTTATAAATTTTATGGTTTTTTTTTTTTTTTTGTTTAAATACAAAGTGCTTCTATACATTAAGTAGGTTACAGTGTTAGTGAGTAAAATCCTTTGACTGGTACCTTGATCACAAGGGTCATACATGGCGACCATGGTATTTGTAGAGTTCGATTAAGTGCTAAGAATAGGAACTCTGTGGTGCTGACCATTCATGCCCATTGCCAGCAATGGGTTCACTGTATTTGGGAGTATCTGTTTTAACAAAATTCCATATGAAAAATATCTGAAGCATTAGAAGATTAAGAATTAAGAGCCTCTTAAAAAAAACCTCAAAGTTTGTAAGTAGAATGCCAGTAAAGAAGTTACAGTAATTACAGCCCACTGAGTAGTAAACCCTCAGCTTGTAGCAGACATTCATGTTCAGGATACAGTTCAGTTGTATCTTAAGACAATTTGTAACTGGGAGTTCAAAAAAAGTATCTGAAGAGTAATAATCTTTGTGTGGTTTAGCTTCACCATACAGGGTCATCTGTTTCAGTACATTATCCTGCACACTGCAGTGCCTAATACAGAAACTGGGGCCAGAGAGGCTTAGGTCTTCAGTGCTGGTTAGCTTTTTTCCCCATGTTACCAGCACTGTACTTGGACATCACCTCTTTCTATTATACTCTATGTATGCTCTGAAGGCTCTTTCCTTTTATGTTTCAGTGAGCTACTAAGAAGGGTTAATTGCAGAGCTGGCAGCATCTCTCAGAACTACACAATCCTCCACCCCTCTCCGAGAATGAGAGCCCCACATCTAGATCCTCATTCTGACGAAGCCCAAGTGCCACTTTCCCAACAAAAATCCCAATTTTGGACACAAGCATGGTACCATGTTCTGCAGTACCATTAAAAGATCCAAATCACATACTTCCTACTTTTCTTCACAAGCAACTTCATTTGAAGAGGTAAACAACTCTTGTCTGCTTGTGATCACACCTCACCAGTCACAGTAGTTCAGTACCAAGAATCTGTATTATAGTTCTTAATATTCAAAAAGTAAAGAATTAAAAGTATAAATACCTATCAATGACTACATAATTTTCCTAAAGCAGGCTTCTACAACTAGTTAGAAGTTCTCAAAGAAGTTTTTTGTACCAATAAAAAGTCATTTAATGAACCCAGAGTTTGGTACTTGCTACTGTAGCACGGCACAAAAATTTGAACAGAAAACTATAGCTTGAATGTTTGATTATTTTGAGTAAGTTCCAAATGTTACATCGTTTCTTGTTTGTGACAAGACATGCTTATTACACACACTTCTAGAAGCTCTCACGATGTAGCAATTAAAATCTAGTGAAATCAAGAGTCATATAGCATTATACCCCAGAGGAGCAAGGATAAATCATACTTAATACATACTGAAGTTTATATAATGATAAACTATATATAAATACTTTACAGACTAAATAGAAATCAGCACAAAATTAGACACTTGTTTCACTGAAGATGGATTAAAACCCCGCAGAATTATAGAATGTTAAGAGGTTGGAATGGACCTTGAAGACCATGTAGTCCCAACCCATCGCTGCCCTGGGGGACACCTCCCACCAGAGCAGGTTGATCAAGGCCTTATCCAACCTGGAATGAACACTGCCAGGGTTGGGGCATTCACAGCCTCCCTGGGCAACCTGTGCCAGTCTCTTACCAGTGTCACAGTAAAAGATTTTTTCCTAATATCTAACTTAAATTTCCCTCATTCAATTTATACTCGTTACTCCTTGTTCTATCACTAGTTCCTAACGAAGAATTCCCCTCCAGCTTCCCTGTAGGCCCCTTCAGATGCTGGAAGACCAACAAAGGAAAGCCAAACCACCCTTAAGGCAGTGGTACCTAATGGTATCTAACACTACCTAACAATGCATGTTTAGTATGCTGGCAGCCTTCAGTCTGAGGTGGAATTCTGTTAGTTTTTCTCATTAAAAAGTGAACCATATAACCCGATTTGGTCATCTCGGTTTTCTATTCCATTAAGCAGGGCTGCCTGAACTTCTGCTTCACCTAAGTATTTTCAGGATTTTTGTCAGCTTAGAGCTAAGTTTTTATTGTGAATTTAGATGACCTAGAAATACAGGAGGGCTTCTGAATACTGCTGGGTTTACAGTCAGTGTCAGACCTCATTTTGCAAGCACTTTCAGATTAACCATTTGCACCTCACCCACTGAACACCTGGAGTAATGCTGTGGAAAGCAAAGTTAAGTTTATCTGTTTACACCAGCACGATCATTAAAACTTGGGTTTTCGAGAACGTACAATAGCAAGTACCAGACACTATTTGCATAATTAGTTTATTTTTCTTACTCTACTAAACAAATGTAAGCACTAATGTCTTAGTTCATCTCAGTAGTACTCTGCTCAGCTTTAGAAGCTTGATAGGACTTGGTACAAGAGGTCACATGCCGATGAAAACTGTCCCGCCACATAAATCTTTTCCCACAGATGTTACACTCGTATGGTTTTATACCTGTGTGAATTTTCATATGGCCCACAAGATGGTGTTTCATTTTGAATTTCTTACCACACACACCACAGCCGTAAGGTCGAAGACCAAGGTGCATACTCATATGCCGATCTCTTTGACTTTTGTGGGTAAAGCTTTTTCCACACTGACAAGGATAGAGCTTGTCAGCATGGGAGAATCCGGTGAGAGATGTTTCTTCCTTAATCCCAGCAGCGATTTCAATGCCTTCACCATAGCCTGCTGCTATCATCAGATCCTGTCTGTGAGCGCTTAAATTTCCATCTGCCCTTTCGCCAGAAAATTCTTCCATTGACGAGCCATAGAAGTCAACTTGTTCATCATAATTACTTTCATCTGCCTGTTCATCAAATTCTGCTTCCATCTTTTTGTCACCTATATGGAAGTCTTCAACACCTGAAGACTGGATTGAATGATCTGCCTGGATGGTATTCATGGATTCAGAAACTTGGTGCTCATCATAAGGATTATCAACACCTTCACAGTCTTGTTCAAACCTTTCTGGTTTCACGTGGATCCACCGCTTGTGAGACATGATGCTGGGTTTGCTGTATATTGGTCTGGTATACTGGTACTCCGCACTATCACTAGTTCCTTCTTCCCCATCCTGACTGGTCATTCCAGTACTAAGTCTATCGTGTTCCGTGGAAGAGTTACTGGGAAGGTACTCGTGTTCTGTCAGCTGACACGAGAGTTCATCTTTAGAGCTCTCTTCTTCATTTTCGCCATCCCTTAACTCCTGCACTTTGTGGAATTCTGTCTGTCCCCCAGAGCCAAGCTCAAAAGTTTCAACAAGGCCATTGTAACTACTACTGCTTGGGGACTGATGGTCACTGCCATGATTCATCTTCTGACACAGAACTGTTGGGTTCCCCTCGAGCACTTCGGTGCACTTATCCACGACATGCCACATTTGAAGGAAGCTTGCTGCTGTCAGGTAACTAACAATTTCTGGTGCTGGCATTACCAGCCGGCCTGTATAGGTAGACAGAAGAATGTTTTCAAACACTCTGGGATTCATCACATCAGGGAGGACTATTCGCCTGCTGTTTTTTAGCAGAACCTGATCACAGAAGTAAGGAGAACTGGCTGCAAGCACAGCTTTATGGGCTCTGAAGAGATGGCCCTGAACCACGATGGACACATCACATAACTGTCCTTGCTGGCGCTGTTGGTTTAACTTCTGCAAAATGGTGCTAGAAAAGTCTGGAAATTCCACTCGAAAGGAGCTTGACCCAGACTCCATTTCATTACAAATTTAGTGTCGAGCTGCAAGAAAAAAAATCATAGAAAAAAGTCAGAAATTCTGCTCAGTCAAACCCTGACCTTTCCATTTCCTTCCACTCTTTTTTCTTTGACTCACGTGGAACTCAATCCAACATTTTCTGGACTCGTATGTCACTGCTGTATCTGTATTTCTCTTAGCCCATCTAATTTCTCTCTCTTCTGAAAGCTGTGCTAAGGCCCCAGACTGCTATGCCAGCACATTTTCTTGTGTTTCTTCTCTCCATTTTCTTGTGTTTCTTCTCTCCAAGAAGACTCACCATCTACAGCTGAGGCTACAAACAGTATGTTATCCAGTTGGGATAGACTGAGTATTTCAAGCATGAGTTTAGGATACCAAACCCAGTTATTTCACGGAATTACAGCAGTAGACTTCTAACTCCAGCGTGCCCCTGACTTTATAACAGCAAATTAAAGATTGTGCATTTCAACTGCCAACAAAATTATTTCACTGATCCCCCAATAAACACCAATTGTACTCATGAATATTTCACTTTAGATGCAGTTTTCCAAAGCAACTGCACCCACTCACACAGGCAGAATCCCCTGAGTGAAGCTGATGTCCCTTCTGGTGACACACCCTGTCCTTTTATTAACTGAAAGGTGCAGAAGCAACAGCTTGTACAGTTGCAGGACTATAAACTCATCTTTTAATTCTGAGCTTATTGGGATGCTATCACAGCATTACTCTTAAAGAATGTGTCAGTCAGTGAAGGGATATGTCTGCTGTGCAGAACTGCTCCTGCCTGAACCCTGTATGTTTGTAGCATACCAACAACTACGTGCCAGGGCCTCAGCTGGAAGCTCCCAGATTCCCACACCACCCAGACATCTCATTACAAAGTTAACAGCCTTTGAAGCAGTAAAACAACTGCTTCAAATGCACACCTGTAATTTTAAAGTGAATTTGAGATAAATTTGCATGTTACTATCATCAGAAATGACAGAAATTTAAATGCAACTCAAAAGACCAACATGAACTGCTCAAGTAGCTTAAACTTGTGCAGTTTCTCCCTTTGGTGTGTGAGCTGAAGGCAGCAGGATCAGCTAATGACACTTTTCCACAGAGCAACAGAAGACTGTGCCTGCCATTTCAACTGGCAATTTTCCTTACCACTTTGCTTAAACAACCTGACAATTATTTAAGTATTTTGAGTTATCTTATACCTTGTGTATGCCTACACTTTTTTAACAACTCTGTTTTTTTAATGCAGATGCAGTTCCTTGCCTCCCTTCAGACTGTTCTCAGACTCAAGATTCTGTCTTTCAGTGCTTGCTTACAAGAGGGATAAGCCTTCAGGGGTGTTCGACTGCAGTTTAAAGACAGCTGCCTGCAGAACTTGAATCACTGCTGCTGATCTGTACTGCCATCCTTCAGCAAGGACTCAGCATGTCACCACAGGAACACCTCCCGGTGGGACCAGGCTTCTGTTCTCGTGAGAACCAGATCCATTAAAAGGCAACTAATATATTTTCTATTAGTAAAGCCACACATCCATAAACCAAAGGGCCTTCACTTCCTCCTTCTACAACCTGTTCTGTTTCTGGCTTTTCTTTACCTTATACACATGAAAAACAAAGTCTTTCTGTTTCAACTAGTAAACAAAAAAATTACCCTTCATGCCGCACACTCAGTGGCACATTAGGCACAGATTATTTGCCTGAAAATACAATTACTTGCGCGGAGCTCTGGCAAGGCGCTACTTCCCCTCCCCCGAGGGTCAGACCTGACGGCACAGATCGCCGACACCTCCGAGCGCCGCCGCGGGCGGCACGGCGCTCTGTGGCGGA